CCTTCCGAGGAGTGGCTGGTGGGTTTGAACCGCCAGTCTTCTGGTGAGCAGTCAAGTGCCTTAGGCACTATGCTACCAGAGCTCCTTAATTACAACTATATGAGATTATTTTGAAGGCCTTTAAAAAGATATAAATGACAAGAAGATGCAAAATTTATTTTGAATTTTATGAATAGTTAATAGCTTCTGATAAGGCTTCTAACAAGAATTTGGATACTTTATACAGTGCTTAAAATTAATAATTCTCTTATTTGACAAGGGCAAGGTTTAAAACTGAGAAGGGAGTGCATCAAGGCTGTATCCTTTCACCATACTTATTCAATCTCTATGCTGAGCGAATAATCCGAGACGCTGGACTATATGAAGAAGAATGTGGCATCAGGATTGGAGGAAGACTCAATAACCACCTGTGATACATAGAAGACACAACTTCACTTGCTGAAAGTGAGGATGACTTGGAGCACTTACTGATGAAGATTAAAGACTACAGTCTGCAGTATGGATTACACCTCAATATAAAAATACAAAAATCCTCACAACTGGACCAATAAGCAGCATCACGATAAATGGAAAAAGACTAAAGTTGTCAAAGACTTACTTTTACTTGGTTCTACAATCAACACCAATGGAAGCAGCAGTCAAGACATCAGATGACATATTGCATTGGGTATGTGCAAAAGAACTCTTTCAAGTGCTGAAGTGCAAAGATGTCTCCTTGAAGACTGAGGTATGCCTAACCCATGCCTGATACTTTCAATCTCCTCATATGCATGTGAGAGCTGGACAACGAATAAGGAAGACCAAAGAAGAGTTGATGTTTTTGAGTTGTGGTGTTGGTGAAGAATACTGAATGTACCATAGACTGCTAGAAGAACTAACAAATCTGTCCTGGAAGAAGTGCAGCCAGAATACTCTTTGGAAGTGAAAATGCCCAGATTTTGTCTCATCTGCTTTGGTCATGTTGTCAGGAGGAAACATATCATGCTTGGTGAAGTGGAGAGTCAACGAGAAAGGGGAAGGTCCTCAATAAGATGGATTGACACATTGGCTACAATGATGGGCTCAAGATTGTGGGGCTGGCACAGTGTTTCTTTCTGGTATACATAGGGTCACTATAAGTCAGAGAAGACTCGATGGCACCTAACAACATTATTTGACATAGGCTCCCTGAAGGTGCAAATGGTTTGCTCTCAATTACTAATCTAAAGGTTGGCAGTTTGAACCCAACCATTGGCACCATGGATGAAAGGTCTAATGATCTGCTTCCATAAAGACCACAGCTGTGAAAACTCTATGGAGCAGTTCTACTTTGTCCTTTAGGCTGTTATGAGTTAGAATCAACTCGATGGCAATGAGTCTGAATTTATTTATTTATTTATTTGGTAATGCTCTTGAGGAAAGCATTTCCTAATAGGTAATACATTAATAAAACCAATTAATCAGTAAAGCAGACATATTTAGAGTTGCTTGGATGCAATTTGGAAAGTATTTTTCCATAGAAATTTGTAGTTAATTTATTTAATCTCAACCCTAGTTATCAATTTCTATTCTTTTTTAAAAAATGTATTCTAAATTATATTTTTAATATATTATTTTGTTAGAGGCACACATTCTACTCTTAATAACATAAACCAATAAATCAAAGTTTATTAATTTCACGCCACACAACCATTTTCAAACACTTAGAGATATGGAAGTACTGGCTTTTGACTACCATCCTTAAAATCTTGATAGTTTAATATCATAACTTAGATAGAGAAATCAATAGTCCACAGAAAATTTTTATAATGGCATACGTTGGCATAGTGCCTAAGGCATTTGATTGCTAACTAGAAGACTGGTGTTTCAAACCCACCAGCTACTCTTTGGAAGGAAGATTGGGCAATCTACTTCCATAGTGATACTGCCTCAGAAAACCAAGGAAGGGTCGCTATGAGTTGGATCAAACTCAACGGCAGTGAGTTTGGTTTTTTGGTATACCTTGAAAAAAGATCATAGTCAGAAAACAGACATCAAATCAGCATTTGGACTTAATTTGTATCTGCAAGCCAGCAAATCACTTTAAAAATAAGTCTAGCTTTATTGGCATCTAATGAAAGCAGTAGAAACTATTGGATTTTTAATTTCTAGAGATCTTATGGGACTTTATAAGGAGAACTCTTTCTGAGAACTCCCTGTCTCTTTCTACCCAGAAGACTTATACTTATTGACATGTTATTATTGATTTATTTAGTATACATATCTTTCATCTGCACATTTTTTCTTTTTTTTCCCCTCCTTCTATCTAGTATACAGTATGGACTGCCCTCTGGGTCACCTGGAATGTGTTCATTATCTGCTTTTATCTGGAAGTAGGTGGACTCTCTAAGGTGAGTTTATCATGCCTTTAAAGTAACTTAAAAAGAGTACACTTATTGATAACTATTATGACTACATATTATCATATATATAAGGATATCGATCTAAGTAATATTACAAATGGAATTACTAATCTAAAGAAATTTAGGGTACCATTCAGCAAAGAAAATCTTGGGAAAATCTTAATATCATGGAACTTCAAAGCAGTGGCTAATGGTTTAGTTTGTTATGCTGAAATGAACTTGAATTCTGTGGTCGTTAAGGTTGTGTGTCAATTTGGCTGGGTCTGGTTGAGTGGCTGGGCAGCTGGTAGTAGTTATTCCCCATGATGAGGCTTGGCAATCCGCTCCATGGTTGGATCTACCACAAGCAGCTGAGTAGCTACTTTAGGGGTGTGGTCTGCTTCCCATATATATGCAGCAGCTTTGGGAATGGTCTCTAGCCTTATAGCATGCTTGAACCCTGCATGTAGGTGTGTCATTGTTCAACAGCCTGCCATGCCCTGCCGACCTTGGGCCTTTTAATGAATTTGAATCAATGGCCTGCCATGTGGTTTGGTAACATTGGGACTGTGCCTTTTCACAGCACTGTGGACCTTGGGTTTGTCAGCCTCAGCAGCCAGCAGCTGTCTAAGTGAAGAAAAGCCTCCAGCTTCAGTGGCCTGGGAACAGGGGGCAGAGCTGAATCCCAACGTTGAGGGGCTTTCATCCAGGCCCTAGAGCCTGGCACTTTGAACATGAACTTAAGCCTCCAAAGTGTAAGAAAATAAACTCCTGTTTGTTAAAGCCATCCCATTTGTGGTATATTCTTGTCAGAGTGGCACTAGGTAACCAGAACAAATTCTGTCTTAGTTCTCTAGTGCTGCTATAACAGAACTATCACAAGTGGATGGCTTTAACAAACAAAAATTTATTCCCTCATAGCTTATAAGGCTAGATGTCCAAATTCAGGACACCAGCTCTAGGGGAAGGTTTTCTTTCTCTTTTGGCTCTGAGGAAAGCCTTTCCCCAGAAAGATGTCTCCTTTCTACATCTGTGGATCTTGAATCTCCACGTATCTTGGTGTCAATCTTTTCCTGGGTCTAGAAATTCTCAGCACAGGGTCCTCAGGTTCAAAGAATGTGCTTTTTTTCCAGCTCTTCTTTCTTGGTGGTAATGAAGTCCTCTGATCTCTCAGCTTGCTTGTTTAATCTCCTTTATATCTCAAAAGAGAGTGACTCAAGACACAACCTAATCCTGTAGATTATATTCTGTCTCATTAATGTAACTGCCTCTAATCCTGCCTCATTAACATAGAGGTTAGGATTTACAACACGTAAGAAAATTGCATCATATCATAAAATGGAGAATAATTACACAATACTAAGAATCATGGCCTAGCCAAATTGATAACATTTTGAGGGGGACAAAATTCAATCCCTAATAACTTTCAACAAATTCTCATTTCATTTTTAAAAAGCATATTGTCAAAGTGACCACAGCCCTAAATGTTAAATGAAAAATTGTTTGAACATTCTTGTGCTTTAAGCAGGGCAAGGAATTGACTAAAATGATAAGGTAACAAATATAGATAGTAACTTGCTATCTCTGTTTGAATATTAATTCTGGAAAAAAAATATTTGACAAAGAATGAAATCCTCATACATATAAGTGGAACATATATTTACTAACACATAAGTGCATTTATGTGAATTCCTGATCAGACAGAAGAGAGTTGCCTGAATGCAACATGAGGCAAATGTTATTTGTGTCTGTCTTGAACAAATGCCAGCAGAGCACATGATTTCATTATGACTCCTGTAGAAACATCTTTTGATTGCCATCCAAATGTAAGCAGCTTCAGTTAAGTTTCTACATGTGTTTCCTAAGCATTTATCTTTTAAGTCTGCACTATATCACTGTAGAGAAGAAACTTAACAGTAGAACACAAAAGAATGAGAAAGCTGTTATTATTTTTCAGATTTCTCTTTATCAACTATATTTGTACTAACTTAACCTACTGTTTTATGGAAAGTCTCTAATTTTCTGAGTAATGTAATGGTCTTCCACTAGCATTTGTGGATGACATCTTAGAAAACCACCTTGGCTAGCACAGGTGCTAGCACAGGATTGTTAGATTCCATCGAGGTCAATAGGGGAGCCATGCGTGTTTGATTCAGTCAAGAAGCAAAACTCCCTGAAGGGTGTTCTCCAGAGGTAGTCTCTCTTTATTCTTCACTATAACTTTATAATTAGAACTTGTCATCATTTTCTCATATTGGCAAATGCATTCAGGAGCCCCAAATGACATTTCCCATTCTAATTTCCATACATACGTACTAACATTTACCTTTAATATTTGAGCTATTCATTTCATTTCACCACTCATTTCTAAGACAGAGAAAAGTTCTTAAATAAGAGCCAACCTGTCTTGTATAACATGCATATTATAAAGTAGCATTAAGAGCCCAAATCTTATGAATAACTTAATTATTAATAGTAAGTTAAGGAGAGCATTTTTCAACACAGTTTGTGCCTTCTGAGTTGAATGGTCATTTTAAATCATATTTATATTTCATTTGGTGGAAATTATCTTTTTTTCTTTTCCATATAAGCTGATTTGGAATAAAGTTCCAAATAGTCTTTTTTTTTTTTTTTAAATATGTCCTGTGGATCTGGCAACATGGGAGTATTGGAAAAAGACAGAATTTCAAAGCATAAGTCTTTAGGTCAAGTCTTATCTTTAATATTTTCTAATTAAGATCCCTGGACAAACCATTTCACACTGCTGAGTCTCTGAGAAATGATAATAGAACCAGATCCACTGCCATCAAGTCAATTCTAACTCATAGTGACTCTATGGGACAGTTCCATTCTGTCCCATGGGATTACCAAGGCAGTAAACCTTTACAGATGCATACTACCTCATCTTTCTCCTGTGGAGCGGCTGGGAGTTCAAACTGGAGACTTTTGGATAGTTGCCAAATGCCTTAATCACTGCATTACCAGAGCTCCTTTAATATTATAATAGCAATACCAAAAACTGAAAGGAAAAAAAAAAAAAAAAACCTGTTGCTATTCAGTCAATTTTGACTCATGGCAACCTCATATTACAGAGCAGAACTGCTCTGTAGGGTTTTCTTGACAGTAATTCTTGTGGGAGGAGATTGCTAGACCTTTCTTCTGAAGCAACACTGGGTGTGTTTGAACTGTCAACCTGTAAGCTAGCAGCCAATTTAATAAGGCTTGAGCCACGGAGGGACCAATAACAATACAAGCTTTGCCAATAAAAAAATGTAAGTCAGTGCTTGTTGGAAGCTTAGCAACATTTTAAGCAAATTAACTCAGATAAGCTTCAAAGCAATCCTACGAACTTGTATGTATATATATATATATATATATATATATATAATACTGTATATACATATATAATATTATATAACACACACACACACACACACATCACATTCATCATCCAAAAGAGCATTGCAAGATCTACCCTGAAATACAACAGTATTAGGGTTAGGATAAAATCCATAGAAATACAAGGAAGACAAATTAATGCTACTGTTATATATATATATATATATATAATCAGTTTGTCATATTCTGGTGACTTGCATGTTGCTGTGTTGCGGAAGCTATGCCACCAGTATTTCAAATATCAACAAGTGGAAAGATTTTAGCAGAACTTCCAAACTAAGATTGATTAGAGGCAGGACCTGCCAATATGCTTCCAGAAAATCTCTTAGCCAATGAAAACCATATGAATAACAGTGGAACACTGATATAGTGGTAGAAAATAGGCCCCTCAGATTGAAAGGCGCTCAAAATACAATTTGGAAGACCTGCCTTCTCATAGTAGAGTCAACCCTAATGATGTATATGGAATAAAACTTTGTGGACTTTCATTTGCTGATAAAGAGAAAAAGTTCCAAACACCTATTAGTAAATGGAGCATAAAATGTATGAAGTATAAATCAAGGAAAATTGGAAGTTGTCAAAAATGAAATGGAATACTTGAAGATCAATACCCTAGGTACTAGTGAGCTATTGCCCATTTTGAGTCAGACAAGAATGAGGTCTACTATGCTGGGAACAACATATTTAAGTTTGGTATCACATTCATCACCCAAAAGAGCATTGCAAGATCTATCCTGAAATACAGCAGTATTAAGGATAGGATAAAATCCATAGAAATACAAGGAAGACAAATTAATGCTACTGTTATTCAAATTACTTGACAATCACTAATGCCAGAGATGAAGAAATTGAAGTTTTTGTTTTGTTTTGTTTTTTTACCAACTTCTGTAGTCTTAAATCGGCCAAACATGCAATCAAGATGCATTGATAATTACTGGTGAGGGAAATGCAAAAGTTGGAAACAAAGGACCAGTAATTGAAAAATATAGCCTTGGTGATAGGCTATGGAGATTGCATGATAGAATTCTGCAAGATGAACAACTTATTCATCAAAAATACTTCTTTTCAAAAACATTACCTATGATTATACAGGTGAATTTTGCAAGATGATATCCACAGGACTCAAATCAACTCTATCTCTGGACATAGACAATGGAAAAACTCAATATCATCAATAAAAACACAGGCCAACTATGAAACAGACCTTCAGTTGCCTATATGCAAGTTCAAGTTGAAGCTGGAGAAAACTAATTTGAGGCTACAAGACCAAAGCATGACCTTGAATATATCCCACCAGAATTTAGAGACCATCTGAATAATATATTTGACACACTGAGCACTAATGACCAAAGATCGGAAATGTTATGATATAACATGAACTAGATCATACATGAAGAAAGCAGAAGGTTATTACAAAGGCAGGAAAGAACAAGAAGACTAAAATGAATGTCAGAAGGTTCTCTAAAACTTACTCTTCAAGACAGAGTAGATGAATTAGAAGGAAAAAATGATGAAGTAAAAGAGGTGAAAAGAAAGGTTAGCTCAAGAAGACAAAGTAAAATATTACAATGAAATCTGCAAAAAAGGAATAACATGTTGACTATATCTCA